TATTATTATTGTTATTTTTATATAAATTGTATTTACAAATCAAAAAACATTGATAGACATTTTTATTGCGCAGTCTTCTTTTTCTTTCTACCATTTTACGCCGCACAACCTGACAAACTATAATTATTTAATATTATTAATAAAGATATATTTCTATTCACATCATTACAAGTTTAGACATATAAAATTAAGTTATCTGAAAGGAAGAGCAATATTTTTTCCCCAAAACTTTTTTCTTCATTTCAAGAGAACTTTAGTCCTTTCTAAAAATATACTTCTTCTAAAATTCTTCCTTAAATATAAGTTTCTATAATCTCTCTTTAATCACAAATATTTTCTGCAGATTTTCTGGAATTTTTATTAAAAAGACGACATTTGAAGAATTTGAAGAAATCTGCGAAAAAAATTCATAGAAAATAAGAAATTCAATGTAATGATGAAAAAGGAAATAATTAATTTTAACTTCGATTTATAGCCGGTGTGTCCCTTTAAAAGGGACAGCATCTTCACCTACTGATATTTCTCTTAAAACCACTTTGGTCATCGCCAACGAATAAATCCGCCTTTTCAACATTAAAAATAAAGTTCTGGCATACATAGTGTACAGTCCCTTTAAAATACATATTTTATTAATTAGTTAACCGTGGTTCTACCGTTGTCTGTGTTTGTATTGACTGTAAGAAATTGGCTTCTAGGGCAGTTCTTCTGCTTTGCCCTTCCTCTCATGCAGGTCAACATATATATCACTAGGCTTTCCGGGCGCTTCACGCCCATCTTAAATTTCATTTTTTTAACATTTTCTCTTTGTATACATTGTAAAACAAAAGCAAAAACAAAAAATATTTCGTAGATTCTAAAATCTTATAAAAATCGAATTTTGTTGGAGGCTAATTTTCAAAATTTTAATCACCCATAAACTTTCCTTGGGGTTATGTGAGGTCACACAATAAGTTTGGAGCCGATCGGTTTAGCCATTTTGACGTTTATTGGATACAAACAAACAGACACAGACAGACTGACAAGCAAAGTATATTTGTAGACTAGGCTTTTAGGGCGCTTCGCGCCTATCTTCTATTTAAATTGTGAACATGTTCTTTTTGTTTACATTTTAAAACAAAGAAGATAAAAATACTACCGTGATAACATTTACAATATGAAACATTTTTACATTTTTCAGATGTACATTTTTACATTTTTACATTTTTACAGTTTTTTGGACGAACGTCTATTTTTTCAACTGCTGGCCTTTAAAGTACCACCATTCAGACCCCCCACCCCCACACTTTTTAGTTTAGAGCAAAAAAATTATGTTTTCTGAGCTAGGAAGCAGCTCAAATATTGTTGCTTCCGGGTTCAGACAAACAAACAAATTTTCTAAAGAAAAAAATGTTTATGCTTCAAATTTAAATCAAACAACCTTATTCAGTTCAGCATTTTAAAACATGTTTAACAAACAAAACTATAAAATATATTCATTCACTCAAATATTTGAAGTCTTGAAGGACCCGGAAAGTGATTCTAAAGTTTAATTTAGTTCCAAATAATAGAAATACAATACAATACAATACAATAGAATTCATGGAAGAGACTGTAAGCATAATATCAGTGGCAAATATATTCCCTATTTACACCGGTATTCACTTAAAAGCTTTGCCTGATCAATGATGAAATAGATATCAGCGTTAATAATTTTGAAAACTGATATGGTTTAATTGCGGTTTCTCTGCAAAAGTGACTTGGGGATTTCTTTACTGCAGGAAACATTAAAAAATTATCAAAATTAAATACTTGAAAGCCGCGGAAAACGACAATATCTTTCACATTATTGACCTGACACTGGTTCCCAGGGTACTGCGTTGTAAATAGGGCATTGCCATCTTTGTAAGCAGGATCACTTGAAGACCGAATTTAAATATATAAATTTTCAATTTATTCAGCATCAGACTCTGCTGGTAAG